CAGATTAAGATTTAGATATCATTTAGATTTTTGCAAAGGGCTCTAAACGACTGGAAAACACCATACTTATCACCTCCGACTTATCAACATCGACCGTGTTCTATGAAAAAAAAGTTCCCGGAGAAACGGTTGGGAAACCAACATTTATTTTACCGTTTAATGTTAATGAACTAATCGTGTCATTTTAACTTACGTAAGTAGGCAAGATCAAGGATAAATCTGTGTCTCTCTAATAATAGTAAAGCTAAAGAAAGTCAACTATTTTTATAAAAAGGCAAAGCGACAAGCGGGTTCCAATCCAAAAGCCTGAAGACAAACAGCAGTAATTGCCTTTGAAAAGATTCTTCTGAACCTACCTTTAAGAAGAAGACCACATAACAGAGGCATAGTCGTAATGGTCTCGCTAAGCTCGCGTATATTCTTTTTGTAACGTAAGAGCCGTCAAGCTCATTGGATCACCGTTTAATAGAACCTAGCGCTGATATCGGTTTATTTAAGAAGAGCTCACAACATAGTCTTTGGTTGAATAAGACCAAATGCACGGACGAATCTGTATTTTCCAATTTGTGCGAACCGATGATATAATAAATAGCAAATGAAGTTCCTATTGAGAGCGAAAGCTTGTTGCATGTTTTCAAATTTAATTTTTTAAGATTTAGTGAACAAAATGTAACCAAATTATTTGAACGAAATATGAGTACAATCCCAAGATAAAGAAAGAAAACAGTTTAACGTTGTTAGAGTACATTAAAATCATCGAACGGAGTTCATTGCCAAAAATGCTCCGAACTGGCTGTCTTGAGCGAAACATGGCATCACGAACAATTCACCAAAAGCGATGGAGTTAAACCGAACGCCGATCGCGTATAAATATACGACCTTATCCATTTGAATAAATACACAGGAAGGCTATAAGCCTGGAGTTCGAAAATCAACAAGTTATGGTTAACTGAGTCCAACGCTTTATTAAAATCAGGGTATACGACGCCCGTGCGAAAGTTTTGAAAACATGGCAAGCTAGCTTCAAGACGCTCGTAACAGTTGACCTTCCTTTTAGAAAGCCTTGCTGCGAGTATTTCTGAAATAATTGCTGTGTAACAACTCGTTCAAAAAATTTAGATAAGACAGTCAGTTTGGCAGTGCCCCTACAGCTCTCGACGAGATGTCTGCTTCTACATTTGTGAAGTGGAAGAGAAGCCACCACTCCAACACGAAGAAAAAACACCTATTTTCAGAATATGATTATAACTGTTTAAGCTAACAGCACATAGTTCGTCAGAGCATGATTTGAGTATCCATAATGGAATACGATAAGACACAAGCGCCCAACCACAGATTCGTGAGCAATTGTTAGGATGGAGGTAGATTATTCTTTTGGAGTTAATAAATTTAGAGGAGTGTTTATAGGATTAATAGTGTATATAGGATTAATAGGAAGTGGGACTTTTACCATTTGAAGGTGTCAGCAATAACATTGGCATTTGAGGTAACTGAATTTATGCTTTGCAACAGAGTAGACGAAAGTATGGTACGCAGAGCCACTTGTCACTCATTTATGGAAAATTTTGTTTTTCTTATTTTCGTAGTATTTAACTACTTTGTTCAACGACATCGTTGCTTCGAACGGGAGCTTTTATAATCAAAAAGCACGCGGCAAATCTATATTTAACGCAGCATAAATCGCGAGTATTACCATTTCCGTAATTCCAACACAAAAATCGAGCAAACGCGAACACTCTGTGCTCACTGAATTTAAGTATACAGACCGACTTTTAGAATTTAGGTTCCTAAGATTTTGGTAAATGATTGTTACTGAGCCTGAGGCAACATGCAATATTCTTCGGGTGGAAGAACTATACAATTACTTTTTTGGACAAAATTGAGTATTTTCTGTCGCAGCTAACAACTTGAAAAAAGAGATGGCTCTAGCTTGCGACGGATGTAATTTGAAAATGCCAATATGACTCAGATTAACCGAAGTGACTATTGCAGGAGTGTCAACCTTGACGCAAGTATTGCTTTCCGAGGCAATACTGCTCTCAAGGAAACATCACTCGCTTAAGCAAAGTTACAAATCGAGGGTAGAGAATTTTGAGATGGAGACTCCTTTGAGGTATCAATATATAGGGGAGTTACTTGATTTACTAATCTTATCAGCTAACTTGGCGACAAAGCAAATGTTGACATTATTTCAAGGCGCTTGATACTTTTCTCGGATTTGACGATGAAATGCCCAATTGCTAATAAGGAAGGCGTTTGACCACCATGAGCGGATAAAAAATATGTGTATATATGTATATAATTTGAAACAGCAAGGAAGAAAGAGCTACAAGATAGAAACTAGCGAAAAAGCGTACATGAACTTCAAGAATATCGAATTAGTATGCATACAATAAAGCAACGATTGTAACGTCGCCAGTTCTGCACGGTGTTTGCCACCTAATAATGTGTAGTCGTAGTTCAGCGCTTCTTGTTGGCATTACCTCTACCTCAGTCTTGATTTCAGAGAGAGTTACCTGAAATATTAACTCTGGGTTTAGCGACCGCAAGGAGATATATGACAACAAAATTTTAGGATGACGGCAGCTTACGGTTCTTAGGCTCATTTTGTTACTCGGTGAAGGTGCGAAAAAACAAAACCTGAAATCTGAAATCTTAATTAAAAAACTCTATGTCACAATGAACTATTTGGTGTTGATTTGGGCACTGCGGGTGTTAGAACAAGAAATGGTCCTAATTGGATGAAGAACACAAGAAATAAATATAGGCAAAAATCATCAGCATTTGAAAAACAAGACGGTACAAATATAAATATACATCCCTAGTAAGGTGATTGTGACAATTAACCCGATAAAATACCTTGTGACAATCAAATCGAAATTTATGACTATTGTATTAATTATTGAAATAATGGATGCAAACCTGATACTAATCTGATACAGATCACAAAGGTTGCGTAGAAAAAATCCAGAAACTATTCTGTAAATTAAATCAATGAATTTTAGCCATCTCTCTGAAAAGCTTGTCACGATTCTAGCTACTTTGTTGCCGGTAGAGCATATATATTTTCCTGACAAAGAATAAAAAACGAAAAGGTCCCGGCGGTTGTCTACCGTCCGTCTGTCCACCGTAAGTCAGTCTGTAGTCGTCTGGCGTCTGCCTCACATATTTTGCAGTAATTTGGCAATAATAAAGTTTGGGAAATTTATGCACGACTTTTGCTTTTAGCAGCCTTTTTATCTGGAAAGGTATTTTTTTTCTTTAAAATGATAAACTGTTTCATTAACGCTTTGGAATTTTCGTTGAACTCCTTTTTTTTTTTTTGGTAAGGATTTCTTATGGAAATCAACAATTTAACATTAAGAAAAATTAATAAAGATTACACGACCATTTGTTTATAAATGTCCTCTTTTACCAATACTTTTCTACATTATCCACTTGATAAAACTGTTTGCTTCTTTTTTGACTAAAAATTCCGTATTGAAAGAAAGGTGCAGCCATTATTCTTGACTTGCTTCTCCTTCCTCTTCTTGTGCTTCTTTTAATTGTTCCACCTTTTTTTTCATTGTTTTTTTTTTGTTACTTCTTTTAATAAAAACGGTTTAGATTTCATTTTCGTAGTTTAATTTTAGTTAATTCCAACTAAAGTCACATTGATGTCATTCACTACAAAAAAATCTTCACATTGGTTATTGTTAGTCCTTTTTATCACACTTGAAGGATAATTTCAAAAAAAAAATTTTTTATTTATCCGTTTTATGAAAAGCTCGAAAATACGTCCGAACTTCACCAGCTGCCAAATAGTTCTCCCCTCTAACTTGAAATTAAAACGCAGACAGACCTCTCGTGCTTACTCAATTTCCCTCTTCTTCTTCCTGTTGCTCTCTCTATAGCGGCTTGCCGCTACTCTCACACAAGCAAGCAAAGAAGGAAAAAAAAGGAGTACCGCAAAATCATACGATTCTGCCTGTACTTGCAAAAGCAAGCAAAGATACCGCAAAATCATACGATTTTTGCCTGTACTTGTAAGCAAGGAAAACAGAAAAGAATAAAACAAACATATATACCGCAAGATCACGTGATTTATAAGCAGTAGCACAAAATCGCATGATTTTGTCTAACGGCATGCCGTTATTCCGCTGCTTGCGGTTGATACAGATCGATAGACACCCTACCCGAGGTTTGTTCGCGGCCGTTACAAGCTACAAAAGCATTCAAGTATCAATGGGCTTCAAAGTAGCTCAAACAAGAGCAATTATAAAATTGTTTACTTTAATCAGGTGTATTTATGAATAAAACTGGTCTAGGCAGAGGTGTCAAAAAAAGGAGGAGTGAAATAAAAGACGAGAAAGCAGAAAAAGAATTTAATTATATATATATTAAATATATATACTATTTATATACACATACATTTACCTATACAATCTTCTTATCCTACCCCGGCCAAGTTAAGTGACAATCTTTATATATGGATATAGATTATAAGGTATATATATATATATAATAAAAATTGTTACTTAAATTGGGCAAGGCAAAATAAAGAAATTGTAAAAGGGTTATGATAGTGGAAGTTGCTTGCTTATGAGAAAGCGAGTATAGTATTTTAAACTATGATATTTTAACCAAGCTGTTTCTCTTTAAGATGATAAAGGCAGGAACGCAAAAAAAGACTTCTTTACATGACAAAGCAAAAGGCAACAATAGTAATATATTTTATTTAAAAACCATATGTGTAATAAAGCAAGAGAAGTAAACAAAAAGGAAAAACGAAATGGTATTGCCATTCACGATTTCGTCTGAACATCCGGCCCCCTTGAATGGACTCGGTCCGTTCAATAGGTAGACGTCGAACCTTAGTAGAAGTTCTACGTATTTCGCAACTGGAAGTCTTAACAGTGATAACACGTACAACTCCGTCATTACCAGGATGAATTTCAGTAACACGACCCATGCGCAATTTTTGAGGAGGAAAATTGTCTTCCTCTACAACAACAACGTCCCTAACCACTAATGACATTTGTCCACTTAGTTCGATTTTGCAACGTGTTTAAATAATCCTTAGACCATCTGTCCCAAAACTGTTGCAGATAATATTGCAATCTTTGATAACGCCGTAAATGGCTTACGTTGTTGACACCTCTTATGTCGGGATCAGGTATGGTTTTTAAAGCAGAGCCATTAACAAAATGACCAGGCGTTAGAGCTGGTTCGTCATTTGGACTCTCAGGCACGGGAGTGATAGGTCTTGAATTTAATACCGCTTCAATTTGTATTAAAAGTGTGTTGAATTCAAAAAAGTTAAATTTCGCATCTTGTAGTATGCTTTTTAGATGAAATTTAGTGGACTTCACTGCAGCCTCCCAATGGCCACCAAAATGCGGAGAGCGTGGAGGTATGGTTTTCCAAATTATGCCACGTGAAGCACATTCATTAAATATAATATCTGTACTTTTAAACATCTTGTAAAGCTCATGCAATTCGTTTTTTGCACCAATAAAATTAGTTGCATTGTCACTGTAAATCACTGAACATAGGCCACGTCGCCCAATGAAACGCCTTAAAACAGCTAAGAAAGCTTAAGCAGATAAATCTTCTACCAACTCTAAACGTACGACCTTTGTACAAAAACATATGAAAATAGATATATAGCCTTTTGTAGAAACAATGCCGCGTCTGCCATAATATATTTGAAATGGACCACAAAAATCGACCCCTATTACATTAAACGGTCTTGGTTGTTGAACTCGTAAATCAGGTAAATCGCCCATAAGATGGTTCTGTTTAGTTGGATTAGTATGAAAGCATAACACACAACTTCGACATATAGATCGATCCTTGCCATGGATTGGTCAATAAGATTGACGAATTATGCTTAGTAATGTTTGTGGGCCAACATGATGATTAATTTTATGAGAGTAGCGTGCTAGTGTATACGTAAAAGCGTGATTTTTTGGTAATAGTACAGGATGTTTACTGTTGAAGTCCAGATTAGAGTTTCTTAATCGGCCACCCACTCTTAGCAAACCGTTATTATCAAGGAATGGTGATAAAGATTGTATATGACTTTTGGCATTAAGGTTAGCACCCTTTTGTACAGCTGCAAATTCAGCATGAAAAGAAATGATTTGTATGTATTTGATAATTTTTAGACGAGATGCGTCAAGTTCTGTAGCATCCAATGAACAGCATTTTCTTTTAGCCTTAAATTCACAATTGTATATAAAACGCAGCATGTAAGCGACTGTGTTAAGTAAACGTACATTATCGTTATGAAATTTAATACTAATGATTAAATCATGTTGTTGTGAAATTGTCGTTGTTAATATCATCTTTATAGGTTTTCTTTCTAATTTGTTATCATCGTATTTTAAATTGTATAGAAATTGCGGCCAAATAGACGAAGCTAACGTTAAAAAATTTGTCCCGTGAAACCAAAATGTTGAATGCATTAATTCAGCTGGTAACACACCACGAGATAATATATCAGCTGGGTTTAAATTGGATGGAATATGTCTCCATTGCGAGCTTGTTGAAATTTGTTGAATGATTGCCACCCTATTAGCAATAAAGGTACTCCAATTGCATGAGTCTTCGGATATCCAACTTAACACTATGGCTGAGTCGGTCCAGAAGTTGTTAGATTGTATAAAATCGTAAGCTTCTTGAACTTTCTTGACGAGTTGTACCATTGTTACAGCAGCGCAGATTTCTAATCTTGGCAAACTACATTTCTTGATAGGTGCTACCTTTGATTTGGCACAAAGCAAATTTGAAGTTATTTTCGTATCGTTATTTATTTATCTGAAGTATACACATGCACCATATGCGCTTTCTGAACTATCAGTGAACAGATGAATTTCATATTTTGCATCAGGAGTGAATGCTAAGCGATCCACTTCTAAATCGATTAAATTACATAATTGCCGTCTAAAATTTGACCACACCATCTCGTATTTAATAGCTAATTCGTCATCCCAATCCAAATCTAACCGCCACAATTATTGAATGAAAATTTTTGCCATTAGTATGACTGGCGATACTAAGCCTATCGGATCAAAAAATTGTGAAATTTCAGATAAAATTGTTGTTTTAGTATAATTTTTGTTGAATTTTATATCAATCTTGTAAAGAATTTTGTCCTTTGCAGGATCCCAAACAATTCTAAGACTTTTGATCGCATTTGAATTTTTAATGGTGAATAAAGTTTCACGATTTTCTTTAGGAATGTGTTTAATCAAGTGTTGATGATTTGCACACCATTTGTTTAGGCTGAAAGCTCCTTTGGATAAAATAGAAATTAATTTTGCTTATAATTGCATGGCTTCATGAAGTGTGTTGCAACCCGTTAATAGATCATCTACATAAAAATTTGTGTTTATAGCATTTGCAGCTAACGGAAAATTATGTAATTCATCAATGGCTAATTGTTTCAATGCGCGCGTGGCTAAAAATGATGCAAATGCAGTTCCATATGTAACTGTAGTTAGTTGGTATAGCTGCACTGGTTGATCGCCTTGTGAACGCCATAACACAAAATGGGATCGCCTGTCATCGGGATCGAGAGCAATTTGACGATACATTTTAGTTATATCGAAACCGTTAACCTACCGTAAATAAATCAGGTTGAATTACTGGCCCAACCATAAGAAGCTCGTTCAAAGATTTACCAGATGTGGTTTTTGATGACGCATCAAATACGACGCGTAACTTTGTTGTGGAACTTACAAGTTTATGTACGCAGTGGTGCGGTAACACGTAATGTGGTTGTGAAAAATCAAATGATTATACAATTTCCATATGTGAAAGTTGAATATATTCATTTATAAATTTAGTATAATCAATACGTAATTGTTCATTTGTTTCAAACTTTCGCTCAAGTGTCAGAAAGGGTTTAAAAGCTATGTCGTAAGAGTTACCCAATAAAGATGTTGATGATTTGAAAGGCAACTTTACACGAAAATATCAAAAAATATGTCAACACCCAATAACATGTCGACTCGTTGTGGTATATTAAAACGTTCATCTGCTAATGGTATATGTTCTGCTATGTTCCAGTTTGAAATATCAATTTAAGCATCAGGAATGGTTCCGCTTATTTGGTCAACTATGTGAGCTTCAAGAGTAACCGAGAATGGTTTAAGTAGCGACTCAACATTTGTGATACATTTAAAGTTTAATGTTCCCACAGTTTTATTTGCACATTGAAATTGTATTGGAGCGTATTGACGGTCATATGAACCATGCGTTCAGAAATCATATTAATTTGTGAACCACCATCCAATAGAACACGACAAGGAAAGCGTTGGTTGTATTTCGATATAATATAAACAATTGCTGTAGCTAGTATACTTCGTTCTGTGTGTTGTGTTTTCAAAGCAGCAAAATTTTTAGGTTGTGCTTGATCACTCATGTTATGATTTGTATTTTCTGCAGGTTCGATATGATTTGTTGCATTGATTTGATTATGTTTTGAAGCAGTGTAATTTGCCACTTGCGGGCGTTCAAAATGTAATAGTGAATGACGGCATTTGCCACATGTGTGACAACGACCTTTAGAGGTGCAATCAGATAAATTATGTTTTTTTGAATTTAAGACAATTGACACAAAGTTTGAGTGCATGTACTTTGTTCAATCTGTCAGCAGCAAATAAGCTTAAAAAATCAGAACAGCGATATATAACATGACCCGGTTTTTGGCAAAAGCTGCAGCAATTTTCAATGGTAACAAAAGACTTTGCTGTTCTTTGAACCCTTTTGGTTCTATAGCACGGCTAGTGGGAGCACCACCGGGTAAAGAAACAGAACTTAAATTACTCTCAAGAATTTGACGTCTTTTTAAAAAATTTAATAATTCAGAGAGTGCTGGTAAACGATCAATTGGCGCCTTTTCATTCCACTTATTCAATGTATCGGACTCAAGCTTGGATGTTATGATGTATACCATAAGACCGTCCCATGATTCAACTGGACGATTAATAGTTTTCAAACCTATAAGGCGATTATTCATGTGATCGATTAATTCTCGTAAATCAGCTGCACTCGCTAAAATGATCTTAGGATGCTTGAAAATTTGTTTGATATTCTGATTCCCAATAATTTTCTTGTTTTCAAAGCGGTCTTTCAGCCTTTGTAATATTATTTCATAATTTTCAGCAAATGATTTTTATGCCAGCTATCGGAGCCTTTGCAGCCGGACTCAATTTAGATACCAAATGATGCAATTTAGTAAATGTGTTAAGTCTTTCATTGTTGTGCACCAAATTCATCGAACCAAGCTATCCATGTGGTAACATCACCAGAAAATTCGCGTAATTCGATTTTTGGCAGTTTTACAATGTCGTATATTTCATCAGATAATATCGCTTGGGAAACATGAATTGTTTGGTTCGAATCTGAATGGTTGAGTCTTGATATGCACACTTTTAACCTTGTTGCTATACAGTAATATAATTCTTCATATTTTGATCTATTTGGTTGAGAGATTTTATCAAAATCTTTTTCTTCAATTTTTGTTTGTACTTTGTTGAAAGCATCAAAAGCACTGTCTAAAGCTTTGAGCCTTATATTTAATTCACCCAAAAAAACGCCACTTGAATCTTCTTGTATACATTTTGCGAAATGATTGACACGGTCAATTTGCTGTTCGGTCACCGTGCGACGGTTAAAGCTAATAGCGCTTTATCAAGTTTTTTGCTGCGGTATTGCACGGCATCAACTCCAGTTTTCAATTCCGTTTGATCATCCACGAAAAAGCACGTGTTTAATTGACGTAATTATTATGGAAATTGTTTAAGATACTTTATTCATCGGGGACTCCAAAAAAATGATAGTGCAAGTTGATTCATTGGTAGCTACATTGTACACACGTGATAAAGAAAATATAAGATAACAATGGCAAAAATTAATGAAGTTCGAAGAAAAAAAGCATGTAACGGGGAATAAGAAAGAAGAATCATAACAACCTTGATTCGAAGTCAAAGAACATACACACACTCACAAAAATAAATTTAAATTAGTTATACTTTTATATATAGAAGTAGGTAAAAACAAGAAAGGAAATGCGGCAACGAGGTTTCCAAACTAATACGCCTAATGCTAAAGATGATACCAAGCTTAACAAAGATAATTATAAAGAAAATGAATAATGCGAAGAAAGCACAAATGTAAAATCTCCAGAATCCGCATCACTGTTGATACTGAGCCTTCGGCATTAGCTTATTCATACTCAATATGTCCACTAATTGTTTATTTACGTAAATATTATTGTCATTGACATTCCCTTAAAATAAAGAAACAATACGAATTAAACATTTTATGCGCAGAAATGCAGAAATTCCTAGTAGCTAAAATAGAGGAGCTGCAGGTAGTTACACGATGAGAGGACAGACCATGACTTAACGGATGGATTACATACGTATTGTTGGCGGACATATGGTAAAGGATGTACAATAAAAGAACA